CGATGACGCATGAGCTTACTTACTAATAAACATCATCATAATCGTTAACCTTATATATGCAAGTCCCATCAATCTACCAATTTCCTTAACACTTTCCTAATTCTATTCCCTTCTCTAAATTAATCTACAAACGTAACCATCAAAGAGTTCGTTTTCAGCTGTTTTCATGGGACCAGTCGTTAGCTTTTTAATAGCAGCCACCACTGCCACCATTAAACACGACATGCTATGAAGCATCTTCGTTGCCAGTAGGAAGGTTGCTAGGAAAGCTCCATTTTAGAGTTATGTAGATGATATATATAATATAAATATAATCAAGAACAGCAAATTCAACTTGTAGATTAAAATGGATGGGTATGAAGAGATGTCAAAAGCCTACAGTTACAGATCATTAGACTCACCTGTCGATTATGATGTTCCAAATCACCAAAGTTCTGAGCTTTTTGATAGCTTTCTTGTGTTTGATGATTGGCTAAATGAAGATCAAGCATCCATTGTTCCTGAATATCCAGGTCATACTCCAGTTTATCCTTCGGCTGCCATTGAAGATGGTAATCACTCCATTGGAAGCAGTAGCAGTAGCAGCCACCTTCAAGGAAATAGTAGCAGTAAGCAAACTTATTTCATGATAAACTCATATGTCTTCTTTCTTGTATACTAAATTAGAAACAACCACTCGTCTCTTGAGAAAGTGGTGTAAGGATCGCGTACATCTTACTACCCTCCAGACCTTTCCTCCAATTGGAATATATTAGGTCTGTTTGGTTTTTACTGTATACTAAATCACATAGACACACACATGGAGCAAGCTGGGGGGGGTCTTCATGGGAGGTAGAGGCAAGGTTTGTGTAGTGTGTACATCATACCCCCAGATCCTACCTCCTATACTGGGTTTGTTTGCTTTTTCCTGTATATTTAATTCACATGGAGCAAGTATGGTGTTTTGATCAAAAGAACAACCTCTCCTCCATTTGGTATAGAGGCAAGATCTCGTACATCTTACCCCATCAAACCCTACCTCTGTGTAGGATATGTTGGGTTCGTTTTGTTTGGTTTGGTTTGTTTTTACGCACATGGGGCCCATGAACACATTAAGGGCTGACAATTCCTTTGCTTTAAGGGTTCGGGGAGGAAGTCCATGTTCTTTCCAATTTGTAAAGAATCTTGAAGCCATGAGCTTCTTGTCATCAAGGCATAACCTTTGAGTTCATGCACTTTGACCAACATAAATCCTAATGGTATTAACCATTTTACGTTCTATGTTATCCACAACCATAGATGTACACTACACTTGCACAAAAGGACACAAACCAAGTGGCACGATCAAGATGGAATTATAAACCTGAAGTATCTAAACAAGGTTTAGTGTTTTTGTTACTAGGGGGCATTGGAATCAGGCAAGCTCAAAAGGGTACAAAAGAGAAGGTTGCCTTTAAAACTAAATCACAAGTAGAGATTCTAGATGATGGCTTCAAGTGGAGGAAATACGGGAAGAAGATGGTGAAAAACAGCCCAAACCCAAGGTACAAGAGTAATAGTGTCATTTCCCACAGTAGATTCTTCATGACATCAAACTATAATACTGCATAATGCTTATTATACAAGTGTTGAAAGCTAATGACACCATATGAATGTTTTAACAGGAATTATTACCGTTGTTCAGCACAAGGATGTCCCGTGAAGAAGAGAGTTGAAAGAGATGTAGAAGATGCAAGATATGTAATCACGACCTACGAGGGTGTCCATAACCACGAACGCCCTTCTAACTTCTGATAAAATGTATTATGATCAGCTCTTGTATGCTAAAGTAAGTTTTTTCTAGGCGTACCAGTCCTTAGATTATTGAAAAGCAAGAATCATTCCTATGTTTTCTGAGGTTGTAAGAAGAAAGTTGTAATTTGGTTACTTTTTCCTTCGACCAGCCAAGGTTGCGGATCTTTTGGAATATAAATGATTTTACTTGCAATTAAGCATGAAAAGAGCAACCTCTGGTGCCTGAGCCTGACTATTTGATGTTGGAGGGCTTGAGGATGACAATCTTTGTATGTAGTTTCTCCTTTTGGCATCTTGGAAAAGAGTTGTTTCAGTGACTCGAACCTGTGACTAAGGGGCCGTTTATCCAAGTGCTTACCTTGGTAAGCAATTACTACTAAAAGTCTAAAACTCTAACTTACTTTATCGGGTAAGATTGTAGTCCATCAAAACGGTATTGTATGCAATAATTTATCCGATAAGTGCTCACCAGGTAAGAGTCGTCCTCGTCACTTAGCGAGTAAGACTCTCCATCCTTAATTCTTATCCTCGCTTTTCCCGGGTAAGATTTTTGGTCCTTGTCATATTCATCCGGTAAGGTAAATGACTCGGTAAGCGCCAGTATCCGAAAATTCACATCCAATGTAAGTAACCAACTAACCCATACTCATATCCGCTATAATTGGATGTAGACATCGACATGTTCATAAAATATTGCACTTCTACAGGCCCATAATATTCATGGAAACAACCACTCTGTCCTTTGAAGTAAAGGACACGTCTGCATACATCTTATCCCCCGACCACACATCTCGGTGGGATATACAGGGCACTTTCGGTTTGGTTTTGTTTTATTATTACTATTATTGTTGTTGTTGTTTATTCATAATATAATCTTGTTATATATATATACACTATATTATAAAGCATGTTAAATGGTTATTGTTGAAAATTAAGAGGTACAAGTTATCATACTAAATGTACAAAAGGTAAAGCTGCACTAATTGCAAATAACCTCCCACCATCCCAAATAATATTAAAAATCAAATCATTTTAATTTTTAAATTACATTTTACATCCTTATAATTAGCTATATAATTTACTTTATATCCCTTACTTTTTTATTTTTCATTTTATCCCTTTATCATATTACCATAAATAATTGTATATGAACTAAAAAATATTAAAAAAAACGTTTTATTTTTGACAAACTACACCATTATAATCGTCTCGTCAATATCTTCAAAATGAGTCTGATATTGAATATTTTTGGACTTAATCATATTACTAAATAGCATAAATACGTAGTATATTATTTTTAAAACTTACATTTATACCTTTTATTGTTTATTTAGTTTCTTTTATATCCTTTACTTTTTTATTTTTCATTTCACACCCTTATCATATCAAAATACATAATCCTATATTAACTAAAATACATTAAAAGTATGTTTCTTTTTTTACAAATTATATCATTATAATCATCTTGTCAATACCTTTAAAATGAGTTCAATATTAAATATTTTTAGATTTAATAATATTATAAAATATCATAACTTTGATTCTTTCTTTAGAGTTTGAAATATTATTTAATTTTGGATTCTTTCATTAGATTTAAAATAACATTTAACTCCATTGCAATTATAAATGCAATTGTATTTTTAATTATAAATTTTGGTGTTTATAATGAATAAAAACTAAATATCCTTGATTTACAAAAAAAAAATTGACATCCTGACGCATTGAGCGGGTACCCAGGCTGGTATATATAAAATTAATTATATTCTAAAACAAATTTTAATCAGATTCATTCTATCTATCTCTCATCTCAAATCGGTCTCTCACTACTCTGTCTAGAAACCCTGAACCTCACCTCAACCTCAAAATTTCTTGTTAAATCCTAATTTTCTTGAAGATTGGATGTTAGAAATGGAACTAGAGGATCAAAATAAGGTATGTTTATGATTAATCTTTGTGATTTTTCATTTTGGGGAAACCCAAAGTATATCTATGAATTATAGGTGGAAAATTGAGGATTTGAGGTGAAAGTTCTTGAAGACTAGTGCTGTTAGAAGAGACTGATTCATTCCAGTAATTTCAAAATATCGTATAAAATCAACCATTTGTCCAAATGAAGTGTGCTTTATATCATTAGAAATCTATTCGAGTGTAATACAACTTTGTAGTTTACACCAGAACCTAATTCTAACTCTAAGTGGCTCGAAAACATTGATTTTCCAGACCTGGTCTGCAGCCACTCGAAATTTCATTCTGTTCGTATAAATTCTGTAGTAAATAGACCAGAGCTCCAATCAATGTGAATCCATTTGCTATGTAATCCTAAGAGATATATCTACAACTTTCATTTCAACAAGAAAGTTTGGTTCGGCCTCTAACCATGAGATAGAGGCTAAAACTTTAGGTGGAGAGTTGTTAGCTACTGTTTGGAAGTGTAAAAATTGGGTTTTTGCAAATGTTGTTTAGGGTCCTAAGAATTGTGTTTAAGTATTTATTAAGTGTCCTAGGGATATTTTAAGAATGTTAGAAGGTCCGTAGACTCTTTTAAAATATAAGAGAAAGTAGAAATTGATGAGAATTGTTATCGATAAACGTCTAAAAGCGTTTTTACTAACAAGTGTAGGTAACCCGGAAGAAGAGAACTGTTCATAAGCCTCAAGTCTCGTGTGATCATTTCTAAAACACCTCCAAGGTACGAATATCTACTTTCTGTCAATACGTGGGTAATCAATTGTGGTGATTATTCATTTTGTGAAATATTGACCATGATATACACCCACAAAAATGAAGGTTATCAAGTTGTTATTCGGGATTCTTTTTATGTTTTATGTAATGTCTTGGTTTAAAGATTGTGTACTTGAGAAATCCGAACAATTACCGGTATGTTTTAAGATTCATGGACGATTATATGATATTGAAATCCTCAATGGTTTTATTAGACTTGTTATCAAACGTTTAGTTACTGATTTGATTATTTGAGGTTGATTACTGAATTTAACTTTGAATAGGCTCAATACTCTGGGCACATGGTGTTGAGACGCCTACATCATGGCTAAAATAGTCATGGCGTTCTCTTAAGGGCTATGATCAAGCCAAATAAAGAATGTTGGATGCATCCTTTGAACCGAATACCAGTTACATTGGTTACTGGATAGAGCTGAATACCTGTATATTGGTTACCAGATAGAGCTGAATACCAGTATATTGGTTACCAGATAGAGCTGAATGCCAGATACCTCTAGTTACCGGGGAATAAGACAGTGTAGGTCCGACACTTCCATTCCATTAAGACGCTTGATTGGATTGATCATCCATCAGGGACAACGTATCCTAATGATACAGATGGCCTTCTTACCTTGAATTTTAACTATATGAGTTGTAAAAATTTTAAATTTACACTTAATATGATTTCAAATTTTATCATAATGTTTCCTTTCAGTTACCTATTTCCTATCTTGTATTTCTTTGTGTTATGGTCGGAGATGGCTTGGCAGCAAGCGTAGTGGCAGGCTGGCGATAGGATGTTAGCTCCCGGGGAAAGAAAAGGAATTACACTAGATCTTGGCCACATAGCTCACGACCCAGCACGAAGAAATCTCTTAGATGGGCGGATACGAATAAGAAGGAAGGAGGCTAGCCCCCGAAAATGCTCCACTTGCATTTTTGCAATGTCCTCCCGACCCGTGCTCTGAAAAGACTTTCGAAAGCAAGCTCACCCACTCTCCCCCAGTGGTTAAACTCTAGGATCTGATTTGAATTCCATGAATTCTTCAGAGCGAGCCGGCAGGCACTTTTCCTCTCTCCTTTAGTTTGTGCTTCCACCCGAGCTTATTCGTTGGGAGATTTGCTCAACCGAGATTTATTTTGTTCTACCTCAGCAGATTCAAGATCTAACCGAGGGGCAGGATGAACAATCGAGATGGCTTAGGATGCAAAAAGAAACTAGTTGCTTAATCAGTGATTTTGCTATGTAAATATGTTAATCATATGAATATCGATGGTTGCAATGTGATCTTTTGGGAGTTCTGTTAGAGCTCTGTACTTTGAATGGTAAACTTTTGCTCGGTTGTGACATGCCTCGTCTTAGGTCTAGTAGAATGGGGTGTTACAAATTCATTCTTGCGGGTGAATATATAATGATCAAGATTTCACGGAAGGGATAATCATCACAATTGATTACCTATGTATTGATACGAAGTAGATATTTGTACTTTGGATGTGTTTTAGAAATTATCACACGAGACTTGAGGCTTATGAAGGGTTCTCTCCTTCCAGGGTACCCATACTTTTAGACATTTTCGGTAACAATTCTCATTAATTTCAGGTTCCTAAAAGTCCATATATTTTAAAAGATCCTACGTACCTTCAAATATTCTTAAAATACCTCTAGAACACTTGATAAACACTTAACACGATTCTTAGGGCTCTAAACAACATTTGCAAAAAAAAAATCCAACTTTTACACTTCCAAACAGTAGCTAACAGCTTCTGTCCACCTAAAGTTTTAGCCTTTTCTCAAGCTTAGAGGCCGAACCAAACTTTCTTGTCAAAATTGAAGTTGTATATATATCTCTTAAATAGCAATTGGATTCACATTGATTGGAGCTCTGATCTATTTATTAAGGAATTTATACGAACAGAACGCAATTTTGAGTGGCTCTAGACCAGGTCTGGAAAATCAGTGTTTTTCGAGCCACTTAGAGTTAGAATTAGGTTTCGTTGTAAACAAAGTTATAGCACACTCAAAAAGAATTCTAACGATATAAAGAACACATCATTTGGACAAAAGGTTGATTTTATACGAATTTTTAAACTTACTGGAATGATTTTGTCTCTTCTAACAACACCAATCTTGAAGAACTTCTACCTCAAATCCTCAATTCTCCACCTATAATTCATAAATGTACTTGGGGTTTCTCCAAAATGAAAGAATCACAAAAATTAACCATGAACATACCTTATTTTGATTCCCTAGTTCCATTTCTAACATCCAATCTTCAGGAACATTCAATATGACTAAAAACACAAGGGTATATCCAATTATTTGCCAAATACGTCTTTTAAACTTGAACAAAACTTGCATATATAGTCATCAAACAATGCGTTTTTAGCACCAAAATGGCGATACTAATACATTGTTTGTTCAATTCTCCACCCATTACTCTCTTCGTCCTAAAAACGGTAACACTTCTTATTTAAGGTTGTCCCCCAAAAATGCAAGGTTCCCTTTTCTGGAAAGATTTATTTCCAAATTAACCTATTTGCCCAATCATAACAAGATATTGAGATGATTAATGTGGTGTACAAACTTTCTCAATTTTGTCTTATTATAGGGGTATTACCATTTCTTACTCCTTTTTCTCTTTTGTGCTTGCTATGTGCTAGTCTTTGTTCCTTTTACCTTTTTGCTCGAATACTGCACAAGCCGAAGGTTTTCGCAAAAAACCACCACTCTGATTTTTGTGGTATTGGACAAGCTTGGGTACATCCCTCTGGACCTACTTTCAAGTGGGATACACTGGGTCGATTTAGTTTGGTTTTAAGGGGGGTTCCAAGTATTCGAACATTAATCAAACATCCGTTAAACCACATGCCAATCTAATCTTGCATGTTTTAGATGGAGGGAGCATCAAGTAACATCTAAATGCATACAATATATGTATGTAATCCAATTTGTATTTCTACCTCATAAAAACAAATATATCGAATTTGCATCCCACATGGATGCAAATATGGACCTCGATCACATCTAATTTATTTACACTAACCATGAGAAAAGTGTCTGCCAATGAGTTGTGACCAATATGATCAAAGATAAGCTCAGCAGCATTGAGAAAGAATAACCAAACTAAACTAACCCAGTATATCTCACCCGTGGTATATGTGTATATGGTAGGATGTATGCAGACCTGGCCTCTACCCAAGGAGTAGAGGCGGCTGTTCCCATGAAGACCCCCCGTTTCCGCAAAGTGAACGAGAAACAAAGAAAGACATTAAGAAATATTTGTGAAGACATATAAGATGCTTCCTTTAGCAAAATAAAAGTTAAGTAAAGCATTTTACCTGACACCAAGTTTGCAGAAGTATTTTTGATCTCAACCTACCACACCTGCGCAAAATTGATTAATCAGACAGGTAACACGAACAAAAAGCGAATCAAATTAGAGCAATAGTTTACCAGGAAGTAGATATACCATCGAACAATATGTGACAGTTCCCTGCTGAAGAAGTAAAAATACGACCGCACAGTTATTTTCCTAATTTTTGATTATTTTATCAACAAAAAGCATCAATACGGAGATATCATGACATAATAAGAAAGAATATTGAAAACCCAAGAACAGATCCACCAAAAAATTATGCTTTCTTCGAACATCAGAACAAGGGGATTACACAAATTGTATCACTATAAGAAACATGCAATTTACATGTGAAAGAGCGAAAAATTTCAGCCATCTAACAATAATATTTTTTACTGTATTCATTTATGAATGGACAAACCCATATGTCCTGAAACCCCTGTATCTTATGTACGTTTCTTTATACCGATTGATACACATGAAATTACCTGAAAAAATAAGGTTATTTTTCTAGAACTTGATATTTTCATTTGAAGACAATATCAGGGTTCCTTGCATATAAGCTTAGTCCCGATAACTCTTTCCATTTAGCTACTTCACCATGAACGTAAGAAGAGATGCTCCACAATATCTCTTCATGCTTCGCTTTGTTCATCAATTGTAAAGATGATCTCACTAATGCATTTGACTTGGCCAATGGATAGCTTTTCGTCTTACCTGTCATCCCACTAGAATGCAACCATCGGGAACCAGATTGTTGCTTCTTTCCAGGGTCCGCTCTTAAGCCTGTGACATGAACTTCGGTGATTTTGAACATGGGGTCCACAATGCTCTCCACATAAGTCCTCTCTACTTGGACTAGAGCAAGCATCGGGATACCAACGGGCTCATAATCCCGAAACGGGTCCCTAAGCAACATTTGTAGGGCTAACGTGAAGTTGTTACTAAGATGCCCACGTTTTTTATCTGATGATTTTCTAACTTTTTGATCCATTTTAGCACAACGAGTTGCAAAAACCTTGGAAATGTGGTCATTTACTTCACTTTTAGCATCAAAACTTGTGGAATCCAACCTCATCCACTCCTCCAATGAAATAGACATGTCCATCAGCTCCTCGATGTTTTTTAAGTTTCCAACGAAATTGGAATACGACCCTTCTTTAACACCTTTGCTTGTAGAGGCCGAGTTTCCTCTTATGCATTGGACGGAGATGCTTGAAGGAGGCTCTTCGGTTGACATTCCAGATTGAATTCTTAGTCCTTCAATTAAGAGGTACTGAATCTTTTCAATTGCCAAAGGAGCAGTATTGCCTTCGGAAACATATTCTGAATCAATTTCACGGCAAATGCTTGTTGGCATTTCTTTGGCCTCTGATTCACGTAGTAATGCTTGCCCCCTGCCAAACATTAATGACATTATATAGATGTTGCATTAATTATGCATTTAACAGAAATAATTAGGAGAACGAAATATATCCACCAGACCATAATGAATTATGGAAATATCATTTATGGCTTTAGAGGGAAAGATACGACAAAAAATAATATGAACTATGACGAATGTAGCAATTTGGAAAATTGTGAAGTAACCTTTAAAGAGTATAAATTATGATTCTGAATCAATGCAAATGTGTTTTGACAAAAATCCTAACTTGGATCCTCCTTTGGAACAAAAGAAATAGCATAACAATTGGACAAAAAAGAAAAAAGAATATCATTCTTCTATAACTCCATTGCTTATTTGTGGTCTCTCATTGTACTTTTTAGTTATGTTTCTTTTTTTCTTTTTGCAAGCCAGGGGTCTTCTCGTAAACAATCTCTCTGTCTCATGGGACAGAGGTAAAGTATGCGTACATCTTAAACCCCGATCCTACCATCGGGTGGATATATTGGGTTTGTTTGGTTTAGTTTGGTTATTTGGACGAAAAGGGAAAAGGAAAACAAAAGGTTGTGTTGGTTTGGGTAGCATGAAATTGATGTTATATCAACTAGACAATAGAATTTCTCTCATTAAAATGTATAATTTCTAATTCCATGAAGCCAAAAACTTGGTTAAAAAGATTTGACTAACCTCTCAATCACCTCCATTTGCGATTCAGCTTCCCAAGACGTTTGTTGCAAGGTCTTCCCTGTAATCTCCTCCATCGGCATCAAACGTGTGGCCTGCAAATGCATCTTTTCAGCACCAACTGTTGCCCAGTTCAGCAGTATATCCATAGCATTAGATCCCATTGCTGGAGGTAGCACGACTGAACTAGATACGTGCACAATCAATCTTGCACCATTTTTAGCTCTTTTGAAAAGCGAAGGATCCATGGACCTTAAAAATCCACCATTTCCAGTCTTCAAAAACGAACCCAGACCTTCTCCAAGTGAAGGCAACTCAGATGGCCTTTCAGGGGAAAGATAGACCGGACTTCCAAATGCACCAGAGGTGGTTCTTGGAGAGTTTTGAAATGCCCTCTCGTTTAAACCCCATTCTTGCATTAAAGCTTCAGTTTCTAAGTTCTCAAGAATCTTGGCTTTCCGTCTACTTATCAAAGAAGGGCCCACCCCATCGTTGCGTTCCATCTCGGTTTCTTGAAATAGAAAAGATAAATCGAAAATGTTGGAGCAGTCTCCTTGCTCTTCTTTAGGATTGAGATCAAAAGCAAAGTTTCCTGAAACTAAAGCTTCCTTCTCAAACTGTCTCAAAAGAAGCTCTCTTGGAGACTCTGGCTCACTATCGGAACCAACCAAGTTCATGAAATCATCAACAACATTTGTTAAGTCATCTAAGCTATGTGACCGTACCATTTTACCTCCTTCACAAATTGAATCATTCTTCATGTGGTAATCATGCTCTAAAACCTGGTTTTCATGAAACGAAAAATCCATCTCTTGTGATTCAAATGTAGAGAGATTGTGGAAAAATAATTCAAGGTCTTCAATGTTGAATTCTTCAGTGCACACATTATTATGCTCTTTAGAACTAATATCATCAAAAACAGTCTCGATTTCTAAATTACCACAATCGTCATAATCGTCCCCATCACCCTCAAAAAGTTCAGCCACATTAATGGTCTCAATACAAGAATTTTCAACAGATTCAACATTATCCTCTTCTATCTTCGACTGATCTTTTGTAGCAAATTCAGTACCTCTATCAAGAATCGTAAACTCACTATCATAAACCTCGCTCTCAGGTGAAGATTCTAAATCTGTAGATACTGAATTGAATTCTTTTGAATAACTTGACTTTGATTCATCAAGTAACTGATAAAGAAAAGGAATTGATGGCCCTTCATATGGTACAATCCCGTTATGAACTTTCATATCTAACGATAAATTGGATACATGGGTCCTACGGCTTGAATTACTTGGAATACTCCCAACCCTTTGAAGCATGCCATTATGACTTGAACCATTTCCTTTCAGAATATTCAAATTCTTCCCAAGATTACTAGACCTCATAAAGTGTTCCCCAGATAACGAAAACCCAAAACTAACATTTATTGTAGCACCTTTTGCCTTACCCGAAAGCTTGAAACTAGTAACCCACTTTCCATAACGGTTCTTCTCCTCCTCTAACTCCATTAAAGTAAGTGGAAGCAATCTCGTGAGATCAATCCGATGCTTGCCCAGATCTAAACCAGGAGCCCCAACTACAGAAGCATAAAATACACAAAGCTTAGGTTCATACTTAGCTACATCATCATGGGGATCACTTCTACTAACATACACCGAACAACGCCTGATTAGTGTCTCTTCAAACTCCGCAACACCATCTTTAACGCGTATAGAATGGCTTTTCAAAACCTCATGTTTCCTTTTCCAGTAAACACATAAGCTGAGTTCGTTAAAATTTAGTGGTAATCCTTCGATTGAATGAACATGAAGAAAAAAACAACAACTTAACCGATGATTTCGAATATGGGTTAGAGCTTTCAAAGGCTTCCATTTCCAAATTGAAGACTTTTTGCCATTTGGTAACAAATCGTCTTTTGCATACTTTGGATTCCATGGAGGGTGATCTCGTGGTGGCATTGAAGTCGTTGATGGGGCATCCTGCGAATATAGGGCTTTCCTTATTTCTTCAATATCATGCAATAGTCTTGAACTTCCAAAGTCATCACTGCTCATCCACCCAGATTCTTCATTGCTCATCATCATCTTCACACATATTCAACATAATTTGGCAAATAATATCAATTCAAACTTCAAAGCCATATAAAATCTAAAGAAATATGTTTGGTGTGTTCTTACTTTATTAAGTTTCTACAGAATTGATTAGCTAAAATGGTCATCTAAAGTCGGAAAGTTTGAACCGTATAGATTTTTCTACTCCTCTATTCCTACAGAAAGCTACATTTTAATGGTCATCAATCAAGGAACTCTAATCTTCCAGAATCACTCTAATTTAACACTAACATCACGAAAACACAAACACAAGCTTTATTCACATATATGATTAGATGGGATTTTCAATGATGAATAAGAACAGAAAAAGGCAAAGGAACAAAAAATAGATCAAATCATTGAAGGGTTTTGCTTTTGACGAGTAAATCATTCAACTTCAAACCCTTTTACGACTATTCACTCCGGATTCGATTTCTTTTAGCAAAAATACATACAGAAACATAGAATTGACGAATACCCACAACAAATTACTGCAACAAATGCAAAAAAGATGGGGGTTTTGAATTGTTTATGCTTACCTACCACGGTTTGAAGTTCAAATGACCAAATAGAAAGAGGGATTGTATCAACCGGAGATTTGTGGGGTTGAAGAATCGATGGTTACAGTTGGGATTTAGATATATCACTCTCTCAGCCAACCTTGTATTTTCAACTTTTATTTTCGAGGGTTTCTGGTATTGTATATTTGTTTTGTCTTTATACTCCCTCTTTTCTAAGTTCCATTATAACGTTCTAATTAAATCCCTTCAACCCCTAAAATCAAAATTGGAAACAAATTAAATTCAAATTTGATTTTTGGTTTGGGTTTATTTTGATTTTGAAATACAAGTCTTTGAATAAAAATCCAGCTTAATATTGTCGTAACTGATAAAAGACTAATTTAACTTATGGATAACCATTCTCGACCCTTATGTTCAGTGAACTTGATATTATCTTTTTTAACTCATATAAACGAATAAGAGATTATGTAAAAGTTAAAATTGCACTTGAATACACTTCTATAAGTGATAATCGTAACACATTATCAGCACGAGAGTTCTACTTAAGGTATGTATTTCCTTAATACTATATGTTAAGAAGATAAAATCATTTGCACAGCTATAGTTTATATAACGGTAACAAACACATTTTTTCAACGACTATATTTTAACAGGTAATTCTTTCACAACATACTTGCTCTTCTTTTTTTCCAATTCATTTGTTCAGAAAAGATTTTCAGAAGATGCTTCATTCAGTTCTAATTCTCGTCATTGTGATACTTATATTGCTAACCATTATTTTCAGTAATCTCCCATCTGATGAATTTTATTTTTTTCTTAAGCATGTTTGTACTTATGGTTCTCCCTCTTCTCTTCATTGCAATACTCATTGACATAAATGGATTCTAATTTTTATCTCGTTGTTTGATAATTACAATATGTCGAACCTTGAAAAGATTGAGTTTTGCGGGCCTTGACGTGAATGGAAAGAATTACATGTCATTGATCATGGATTTCAAAATGTATCTTGAGTCTATGGGTATTTTAGACATTTTAGAGAAAAACAATCAATGCTCGTCGCAAGGCCAATATTTTCTTCGAAAATATGTTGAATTTTGAATCTCTCAATGCTAGTTATCCAAGCATTGTGCGGAAAGACCTTAAAGATAGGTTGATTACCAAAAGGAAGCTTTACTTCCGGCTGCTAGGGATGAATGGAGAATTTTGAGGTTTCAAGATCTTAAAAAAGTAAATGCTATAGCCTCAACATCCAAAATATAGGGCCCAATTTTACATTTTTTTGGGGCCTCTAACCGCCTAACTCTCAACATCCAGATTCAAAGCTGACTGACGACTTTACCTACCTCGTTTGCGAATCAATAGCGGCTCTTAATTTTCTTCTCACTTCTATTCCCAATTTGACGATTGAAATCCCCAAATATATGTTTCGTCAAGGGAAAAAGGCAACGACTCAATTCCAAATGGCTTCCTCTTCCTCATTTGTATAATACAAGTTTCAACTGGTTTTTCATTCTATAATCGATATCCAAAGACCCACCTCAACAATTGATTTGGTTTAGCCATTTAGGTCTGTTAACATCAACAACGGTAAACAGGTAAATTCCATCAACAACTGATTTGGTTTAATATTTTAAATTCGATTTCTTTTGTCTCTTCTCAAACCGATAAACAAGGGTTGCAATACTAGAACTTTCAAAACGTTAAATTTAATTTCTTTGAATTTTATTTCATAATGTTTAGGTTCATAAAGGAAAATTAACATGTGTAGGTTCAAAAATCACAATGTTAACTTAATTGTTCTTATTGCTTAAGGCTTAGAGAATCAGATTTCTAATTGTTTAGTTTCAGGTTCAAAGGGTTTAAATTGTTAATTATTTTGTTTAATGTTATGTTTAGTCAAAAGCTTAACGTATCTTTGATATCTCATTTTTATAGTGTTGTGGATGTTCATATTGTATTGTTTAATTTGTTATCTCACAACTAGCAAATTAAAGCGTTAACCTTTCAAAATCATAATAACTACAAATTCAATCAGAATTTGGATTCAAATGTATTGAATTAGACTCAGCCTATGTTGGCCTTAAACATCCGTAAATATTCTCAAATAATAGGGTCACGGCCATGGCGTTGGGCAGAACGCCGATGATTTCGACGAGACCCTCCCCTTTAACCCGAACAACCAGATTAATTACAGGTCATCCCCTACCTCTGAATCCTTTAACGGACACCCGAGAAGTTAGCTCTTTGCCTATCACATTGGTCGACTTGAACTTCCCTCTAGTCTTTAAGTTGGAACACAAAATGTGGATATCAATATGGTAAAAGAATTGGAATGCATAAAACATGAAACTAAATACTAATAAAGATATGTTATTAAGCTAGAGAAATGAAAGTGATTTATCCATTCATGAAATAGATACATCTAAGAAATCAACATGAAGCTTACTTGCTCGTTTTAGCACATGTCCCTACTGATTTGAACCAATGCTTGATTACTTGCTTTGGCACTTGATGACTTGATCACTTGAACCAAGAATCAACGTCTTAATGGCATGAACCTTTATATCTTAATCTTTCAATTACTTGTTTTGTCGTTCCATGCGTAAGAGGACCTCCAAAAAGATTGGAATGACCCTGAATATATTTCTACAATAACATTGTTTTTTATTATTATGATTCTTATTGTGATTATTATTATACACTAACAGTCTGTTTTTCGTATTGAAGTTTGATATGAATTCCATGGTAGCACAACATCAAGCAAATGTTGGAGATTTGTGTATATCAGATAGTGCTACTACACACATCATCCTGAAAGCTAATAACTTTTTTTTTTTGAATTAAAACACAAAAGCAACCATACATATCTTGCAAATTTAATAGAAGGAATAGGAAATGCTCATTTTATATTACTGGATGATACACAGTTTCTTATAAATAATGCTTTATTTTCTCCAAAATTAAAAAGAAATTTACTGAGTTTTAATGATCTATAGTTTAATGGATATGACACTCAAAATGTAATCTCGGGAAGTGAGAAATATAAGCATATTATTGATAAGAACCAATGTACTGCATAAACTATCAATACTTCATTCTGGTTTATATTATACATATATAAATGTGGTTAAAACAAATATGGTAGTTAAAGAAAATATTATGACCAGGGATTTTCAGTTAAGGGCATGACACATTAGGTCATCCAAAATCAACAATGATGTGCAGGATAATCGAAAGCACACATATCCATTGAAGGACCAGAAGATCCCGGGTAAAGTGATTCCATGTACATCTTGTTCACTTGGGAATTTAATTGTAAGACCTTCTGCAATTGAAGTAGAAAAGGAATCACCTATGCTTATTGAAAGAATTCAAGATGATATATGCAAACTAATTCATCCATCATGTGGACCATTTAAATACTTCATGGTCTTAATAGATGCATCGAGTAGTTGGCTTTATGTTTTCCTCTTATCAATTCAGAATGTGTCATTTGCAAAGTTTCTTGCTCAACTTATTAAATTAAGAGCACATTTTCTATCATAAGATACCTTGAATCACTAACAAGTCATGTTCTTTTAGCACGCTTTGTTGACTGCCAGTTTAACGAGGCAATGTTCCCAACATTAAGGGAACATAAGAGTCGGGAAAAGAATGTTTTATGGTGTGAACTGTCATTGTTATATCTTTATCCTTGCATGAAACAATGTGAAACTGAAATTCAAAAGATAATGCATTTGCAAGAAGTTGCAAATCAATTACTTGATGCATTTACTTATATAAAAAGAGTGATCAAATCGTATACACCAGTTGTCAATACTCCAACTTGAATTGAAGTCTCATGTGGACAATCTAATGCTAAAATCACTCAGGAGTCTAAAACACGTCTGAAGCATGGAAGACCATTCCATTTCAAGGAAATAACTCCCTAAAAAAGAAAAGGAGAAGAAACTGCAACTAGTAAAACTTCCCCAAAAGATGAGATGAATGATGTTAATAGATAGATTGCAATTATTTACGACCATAAAAAATATTATGGAACTGAAGATGATGCATTTTTATATGTTGTTGCATTATGATATTTTGAATGGAAATGATGATCCTGAACCATGTTTGTCACTGAATGTCAAAATAAACAGGAGATTTTTGGACCTATTATTCTCACCCTGAACCTGTGAAACCAATGGGGAACATATGGATTTTCATACAAAAGAGAAATGAGAAAAATGAAATTATAAGATACAAAGCTCGATTTGTAACTCAACGTTCTTCTCAACTAGAGATGGCCAAATGGACTCGGCCCGGCCCCGGACTGACTTAGGACCGTGACCGGTTCGACCCAGTAGTGATCGACCCATCCTGGTAGGGACTGGTTATGGCCCGCCGGTTACAGCCCGGTGGCCCGATCTAACTCATTTTTTTTCAAAAAAAAAGTTATCGTTTTTTGACCGTTGGGAATGGTTATATGACATTTTTTGTGTTTTTTGACCCTCTATACATTATATATAAGTCATATGGTGTTTGGCAGAAGATATCAACTCAAACGCAAAAAAAAAAAAAAAAAAAGTTTACAATATCGTTATAATTTGTGATTTCGACTCGTATTTTTTAAGTGTGTTTGATTGACCCTATTACATGTTTTAAAGTGTTTTTGAACATTTTGTCTGTCTTTGTGACCCAGATACACTATATATAAAGTCATATTGTGTATGGGGCAAAATACCAACTCACAAACGTAAAAAACGTTCACAATTCTCGTTGTAGTTCACAATTTTAGCTCGTATTTTTTAAGTGTATTTTAATGAACAAATAACATATTTTTTAATGTGTAGTAAAAATAAAAAAATTATATTTTTAAAAAGATCTTCAAAAAATAATTTTTATATATTAAAAATCAATTTTAAAAAAATTTAAAAAATACTCGGGATTGATTTAGGTGCGGCCCTGGACTGGGACCGGTTACAAACCATGGACACCGGCCAAAGTATTTTGGTCGGGACCGGAACCGGTTACGTAAATAGATTTTGGGACCGGACCGATTTGGGCACAACCCAGCCCGACGCAGGATTGATTTTGACCACCTTTATTCGAATCGATTATGAGCAAAC